CCGCTGATTACAGAACCGGCTTTACTCACAAGATGCGCGTTAAATATCGCATGCGATTTATCGTGCAGCCCTACCGGAAAGTTATCATATTCATAAGTGCAACAAGTCATTTGCATGTGAAAGTAGAAACATGCAATTCAGACGAAACTTCTGGGCTGATTATAACGTGCACGTTAACTTTCCTCATGAAATGTGTGTGTAGGTCCGACAATATCATCCACGATGTCATCCCTCGTGGCAAGTGCACTCTTAAGCAGTTATGAGCAGCAGGCTGTGTAATGTGTGTGAACTCTTTTATTTTTGTTATCTCTTGGCCATTTGACTTATAGCAGTGTCCAGTGTTTCCCATACATTGAGTTATCACTTCGCTGAGCACTGCACGTTTCAAAATTAAAATGCAGCACTGGTGTTTTTATATGAATGTAACTTTGAAAAGAAAATAACTGTTTTGAGAAGGTGCTTAAGTTTTGAGCCATGTATTATTACTCTAAATTGGGCTACTACTACTATTACTATCTTGTACCCTGCAATAATCATTTACTCAAACTCACTTTTATGAGATGAAGGGGGGGGGGGGAAAGAAAATCGGTCAAAAAAAATCGGCATCATATATTGGCCATCGGCTGCCCTGATTTCTAAATATCGGCATCGGCCAGTGAAAAACCCATATCGGTCGACCTCTAGTACTCAATGAGCCTTGGCCGCCCATGACCCTGTCGCCGGTTCACCACTGTTCTTTCCTTAGACTACTTTTGATAGATACTGACCATTGCAGTCATCTAGCCATCACAATTTGGCCCTTGTCAAACTCACTTAAATCCTTACGCTTGCCCATTTTTCCTGCTTCTAACACATCAACTTTGAGGACAAAATGTTCATTTGCTGCCTAATATATCCCACAAACTAACAGGTGCCGTGATGAAGAGATAATCAGTGTTATTCACTTCACCTGTCAGTGGTCATAATGTTATGCCTGATCGGTGTATGTTTGTGGTCATCTGGAATATATCCCTAGCTGTGGTTTGGTAGGGGGAATTCTGAGCCACTTATGACCAGGCGGTGATTCAGACAGTGATCATTTGGGGTACATTACCTGGCAGTGGTCTGGGTGGGGGCAATTTAGGGTTGCTGCTAGGTGTGTGCACACTGCAGATCTTGATAAACCCAGCCATTAGCATGATGAGAGCAATGCCCATTAGAAGAACCGCCCACCAATGCTCCTGAAACACAAATATTAAAATGAGATGAGCACTGCAAGTGATAAATAATATTGGTGAGTGAAATATCACTTCTCATGTTTTTTTTTATAGTGATTAAAGCCACAAACAAATGCAGAGAAACAGTATTTAGGGATTATATAAATGAGACACTTGCCACTATCCACTCTGCAATGCTTGTGTAAAGCTCAGGGTTGAAAATGGCCTTCTTAAGCCTTGCCAGAGGGCCATCAGCATCCACCAGCCTACACTTCATAAAGACATCGCAGTAACCTTTGAAGTCATTACAAGGAGAGCCAGGCTGTAACGTGGTGACCTTTTTGTTAAAGTACTGAACCCATCTCTCTGAGCTAGTGCTGCTGCAAGTGTTGGGCTGACCTACGAAGACAAAAAGAAAGAATGGGATTAGTAAGATTTAAAAGAATACTGTTCAGAATTGTTTATATATTTTATAATATATATTTTTGTGCAATTACTTTAAGGGAAACTTTCAAAAATGTTTTATGACAATTAAAAAAGGCTACATGTTAAGTGCTGGAGATTTGTTGGGGTCTGGACTGCATTTTTGAGAAAACTGTCAGTAACAGCATGTGTTACTCACCCTTTGCCATACAGCACACATGACACAGCTCTGTGTCGTCTTTCCCCTCCTCAGTGGCACAAGTGCAAACATCTAGACCATACTTCTGACAGATAGAGCCAGAGCAAACCTATAAGTGAAAGAAATTATATTCTCAGACAAAATGTCCTCAAACAAAGACAACTATTACACACACATATGCACATATACAGGGAGAAATATTGGACGTTTTCATGTGTATTCATTTGGGCCAAAATGAAAATATTCTTTCATGTCAATGTGAAAACAAATTGGTCAAATTGTATTAAGAGTTATTAAACCTAAAAATGTGTTTATACAATGACATTAAATTCTTGACATTAAGTCTTTTTATAGCATTGTCAATTCCAAGGGAGAGAAAACGTTCTATAGGCAGGGCACAAAATGAGCACACAGGTCATGATGCAGCACCTACCCCATTAAGGCAGACTTGGCTATTTGTGTGGCAGGATGTAAAGTTTTCTTTAGGCGTTGAGGTGGGGCACTGGGCAGAGTTTCCACTGCACATGCCCTTAAGAGCACACTCAGACTCCTCCCTGCATTTCACATCGCTGAACTTAAAGGTGCACTCTGGTGTGCAGCATGGACCCTGACTAGGACTGTAAGAGAAAAGTACAAGAAAAAATGAATGCTTTGTTGCACTTATTGAAAAAGGTGTTAACTTAATAACAAATTACTGCTAATAATACAGTATAGGTAATGCAAACATAACCTCTGATGTTATACAAAGAAGTCCAGAGGTTGTAGTAAAGGTGGAAAAAAAAGATATTTCAAATAAATTACATTGTATATGACACCAAAACAATCTGTATGAGTGTCGGTCAAAGTAGACTGTTAGATGGCTGTATAATTCGAATGGCTATGAAAGGTTATAAGATTCTAATGAACAGATGTTATAATGTTAAAGCCAGTCTTATTTTAGTAATATTTACATACTTTTATAGTATGTATTATAGGGATGTAATGATTCACTCAACTCGCGATGTGATATGATTTGCGATACTGATTTCACAATACAATTTTTTGAACAAAATTAAATTTAAGACAAATTATAAATGAAAAGGTGTCCTTTTATTATTGCTTAGACAAAATGCTGCACATTTGTGACCCTGTCTGTGAAACCCTGGCTGAAGTCGCACAATCTAACTAATTCTGAGATAAAGACCGTCAAAGCTGTCATAGCCATAAAAATTATGAAAATATGTCATTTGTGTTTAGTGCTGTAAATGATAGATTATATCAAGGGATTCCAGATACAGTTCTCACATTTTCATTTATAACATGATAAATACTGAAATTAATGATTTTTTTGACACTACATGCTATTATTTTGTGCAAAATAATACCATAGTTTTGCTTCCTAAACACTGATTTTAATCATCTCTGGGTTTACTTTAGGTGCAGAAACACCTGCTGAATCTCATATCATTCGGTTCAGAAACGTATTTTCTATCATTAGAAACTGCAAACAGACCATAATATCCACAAGAGCGAAAATCAGGTCAGTGCCAGGAAAAGCAAGAAAACTGCGACTTTAGCCGGGTTCCGATTTCTGAGAGGATTTTTTCTTGGCATCACAGAAATTTCAAGAACAGTTTATTTGTTGTGTTACTCAATATTCTGCTTATTTTAAGGACATTTTATGCCTGATACGTGTCGAAATAATTCGGTCTTTGGATGCTGATCATGATGCTTCGGGTTGATGAATTATCTGACATGAAGCGAGTCTGCGTTGATGAGAAAAAAAAATCGAATAGTCTAGATCATGGGTCACCAAACTTGATCCTGGAGGGCCGTTGTCCTGCAGAGTTTAGCTCCAACTTGCCTCAACACACCTGCCTGGAAGTTTCAAGTATACCTAGTATGAGCTTGATTAGCTGGTTCAGGTGTGTTTAATTAGGGTTGGAGCTAAACTCTGCAGGACACCGGCCCTCCAGGACCGTGTCTGGTGACCCCTGGTCTAGATGTTTAAAAAATATATTTAAATTGGCCTATAATACATATTATTACTGTTTTATTTATTTAACATGCATGAATGAGAACATAAAGTGCAGGACGTGCTTGATGTTAAAATCTCAATGTTACTCGCTCTGACTGACACATACCTGCAGCACGCACAGAAAGTCGTGTCTGTCAGACAGTGTGAGATCCTGGATCCCGAATGAACCGTCAGATACATACAGAATTACAGTAATTCAAAATATCTGTCTTGGCGTATATTCACGCAAATATAGTTGGTTATTTCTTAATTGAACGTTTGGGGAACAGTTGGGTAAAAACATTTGATGTGTAACAATATATTAGATCCGTGCATTACAAACAAGCTGCCATCTGTATCATTAATATTAATAAAAAAGGGAATCACTCTCCTTTAGTGACTGAACAATTTTTGTAGCTCTAACAATAATCAGTTCATTTGTAATAAATACATACAATGAAGACTATGCAGTGATTATTTTTACATTTGATTATTCAATTTCTGTTTTTCTTTCATTTTTTCATTTCTTTCATTTTTTTACTGGCTACTCCAAATGTTGCACAAAGCCCAAAGACATGAATTAGATTATCAACTTAAATTTTATATATTAATTTGTATATTAATGACATTTTCTACTGATAGTAATTTTACTAATAAGTTATACAAATCATTGAATTTACTTGGTAATTGTTGCTACACTCAAACTCTTGTGGTTCCTCCCAGTCCTATGTCCAAAAAGCATAAATGTTTTTATGCTTTTTGGACATGCGCATCATAAGTAGACCTGTTTTACAAAACTTTAAGAATTTTCCCATAAATGTGTCATATCACTGAAAATGGGAGAATCTCAGCTTAAATGTGGTATATGGCACATAGTCAGGATAATTATGTTTCAAATGTGTTAAGGTTCAAATCTGTTGCAGTTTTATAAGCATTTCTTTACATTGGAATTTCTCAAAAACATGACTTTCTGAGTCCGAAATTAAGCAAATCTTTGGTCTAACTCAGTCAATATTAAAGATATCGAGGTTATATTTTCACAGAATGTTCTTTACATTATGTAGGACGATTTTATGTAGAAAACAGTAAATCACAAAAAAAATGACTTTAGCTGGGTTTTCACAGAGTGGGTGACATTTCTTTGTGAAATTGAAATGTCAAATAACAAAACTAAAATGAAATTTTAAAACAATCCCCAAATAAAATAAACAAACAAACAACACAAATAAAAGAAATATCTTCAGATATCTCTTCAGCCTTGCCTGTGCTCTTTCCATTTAAAATTAGAGGCAACCACTGTATTGTAATCACAATCCTAACAAAGATGCTGCATACAAGCAGCATGAGCAGTTTTTAATCTAAATTAGATTGTATAATTTTGAGATTTGAAGCAAAAACAGAATAGTCTGACTTTAGTTTTGTGAATCTGTACTAGGGCTGCATGATTAATCGAATATGATTATCATGTGCATCTCGCCAGTAAAGCCGGTTCTATGATTAGAAGTAAATCTCCAGCACGTGCTTTCAGATGGAGCGGCATTTACTACACAGAGCCGTAGTTCACTGACAAGCTATGCAAAATCGCGTTCATAATCGCAGACGATTCAATCGTGCAATTATGAAATAGAAGAAATTGTTCTGCGATTATGAAAGCTGTTTGTGTAGCTTGTCAGTGAACTACGGCTCTGTGTAGTAAATGCTGCTCCATCTGAAAGCACGTGAAAATACCACATTTAATACCATGTTTTTACTCCAAACTCACTTCATAACGTCAGTCGAGTGTTTGAAATAAATCCTTCTGTGAGATGATGTGGCTTCTTACACAGAATAAGGCACGCAACATATTTCATAGTATTCTAAGCAGTGATAAAGGCTATGTCGATTAGCATTGCATTATTATATACTTTATTATAATAAAAATTATAATAAGATGAACTCAGATAAACCATATATTGTCGTAGTCGTGTTTATTAGTCATGTTGAATTAATGAAAGCAGTTAAATCTTCTGTTAATTCAGCAACCGCTATAGGGATTTCCTGGGTTTCTTCTGCGAGGCGTATTTGGAGTTTCAGCGCGAGAGCGCCCTCTGGCCTTCGGATGGAGATTTACTGCTGATCACAGAACCGTGCTTCACTGAAAGATACGCATGACAATCGCAGCTTCTGCCTAATCGCGATTTATCACCTTTGCGATTTAATTTCGATTAATCGTGCAGCCCGAATCTGTACTACATAAACCATCTGCATGAAATCAAAATCAGCAGTCAAGCTGATTGAATGAGAATACAAATTAACTCTCTGACAAAGCAGCGCTGTGCTTATGAACACTGCTTTAATATGCATTATACAGAGACGAGATGAAAAGAAAAGTCAGTCCCCCTCAGAGATACATTCATATAAACTCCTACCCCCAATTGTATTGTGATTCATTGAACATCTCAACCGATTTGAATCTTCACATACTTGTATCAATTTTCAACCGGCTCGCAGTACATTGCTACATCCCTAATGTATTAATATTTTGAATTAGCTTTTTTTTTCAGTTTTTATTTTAATTTTTAGTCATTTTGTGCATTGGTCATTTTTATAAATATTTCTATTTAGCTTTCATTTTTATTTCACATTTAGTTCGAGTTATTTTAATAGTTCAGCTTAAACTTATTTATTTCAGTTAGTTACCAAGGCAACATTTCTACTTTTCATCTAATATTTATATTTTATTTTACATAATTTTTTCCAATTACAGATAATTTTAAGTTTACTTAGTGTATTTATTTTTAGTTTATTAACAATAACAACACTGGTTAAACAGACTGTTAATGTTCTTTTTGCGTACCTGCATAGAGTGTCTGGCTTCAGTTTACACTTCAGTCCCTCTGGCGCACTGGCATCATAGCAGCATTTGTCCTTGCACTGATCGCTATAGCCACAGTCACACTGTTCATTAGCCTCAACCATACCATTACCACAGATGGGCTGTCCAGATTCTGGAAAAGAACAAAACAGTGAGAGAGAGCGAAAGGGAGACTGAAAAAAAAAAGAAGCCTGTTGCCTGATCAGGGCTGGTGGAATCAGTTTTTTGAGACTTTGATGAAACATTTCTACAGAACGGCACAATGAGCTCATTACAATGACAATTCTCCTGGAGCAATCTGAGGTTAAGTGCCTCAATCGAGGCCACCACTGTGATAGCTCACGGTTCGTTCCTGGTTACCAGCCCGAGAGCCTTAAACACTACTCCACACAAACATGTGGCATACAAAAAACCTGTAAAAAAAAAAATAGAGCACAATGTACTGTATTAATATGAAAGAATGTTCTGCACTTATTTTTTACAGCTGTTTTACCTGTATTTTGAATTTTGCACTTCATTGCATTGTGTTTTAGGGTTAACAGATATGTCCGTAAAAATACTGGATAATATCCTGGCAGAAAAGAACCAGTACATTGTTTTTAGGTTAAAATCTCACCAACAAAGCAGAGGTATCTTTTCTTATCCAGCACTTGGCTGATGTTGCGAATGCTGCAGATGGAGAACTTGTTGTTGTTGAACTTGTCTCCTGATGTGGCTCTGGCATACATGATGTAGTTGCCTTTTTCTTTCTGGTCCTGAGTCTTAGACTCTCCTGGAGTGCAATCATTTCCTGAGTCATGCTGGAAGACAGAGAAAGAAGACAGGTGTAATCAGTAAAAAGTGTACAGACACACTTGAAATATTCACTATCCCAGCAGCATTTGCCTGAAGTTAAGAAGGGCTGGAAACCTGGTCAGTACCAGAATGAACAAGAAAAACTAAGGTTGCTTTTGGAGGTGTTACTAAGGCCGGAAGGGGGTGCTCTCCCTGCAATCTGTGCAGGTAATGCACATTTTGCACCATTACAATGATGGGGACTGGACAAAAAACAAAAAAAAAAAGTCCTGGTTCTCCGTGTCATTAAAAATCTCAGAATGCTTCTTGAAATGAGTAGGAGTGTCATCCTGCTCAATTCTCTCTGCTCAGGCAATTTTGGCATTTTAATATTCCTCATGTACACAGATTGGTGTTCTATTCCTGCTGAAAACCCCCTTAGATCAGAATAAAGCTGGTTTGTTGGTCCTAAACTGGTTTAAGGAGCCTGGCCAAGCTCTCCTAGCTGACCAGCTGAAAAGCCAACAGGCCAGTCTGACCATACTGAGAGAGCAGATATCCCAATGAATCGCTGTAAAAACCTTGTGAGTGTGAGAAAAATGCTTTATAAACTAAATTAACTAATTATCATTATTTTAAAAATATTCTCTTTGCAACTGAACATTATGTATTTGGCAGAAACAAGATGTTAATTGGCCTGCAGCTACAATATAAACTAGTCTGAAAATATCCACCACTATTTTTCAGTGGGCCATGGGCCAATTCTTGGCAACTGTTTTTAAACTGAAAGGATTTACACTGGACTGAGAAAACTTTGACGTCACGTTACTATAAAAGACTGGCTAGATGAATCTGACAATTTAAGGGTCTCAAAGGCAGTACTGTAATGCGTGCTTTATTCTTAAAGCATTAGAGAGTAAAATGAATTTGTTCATAAAGGATTCAGCTGAGGTGTATAGTCTACTGCTAATCTGTCAAGGATGCTTCACATGAAGTGAGAAGAACTCACCGGAGAGCCGAAGTTATGTCCAACCTCATGAGCGAAGGTGATGTGGGAGACTTTGGAGGGAACATGTGATGCATAGTTTTGCACTGTGATGATGCCAGTGTTCAGAGACTTCCTCTTCCCATCGGAGTACTGTTTATTCTTTTCACAGATTCCACCAGAGCTGCCTGAAACCAGTGAAGCATAAATGAAACGATAAATAAATCCAAAATTAAAAAAATCTCTCACCTTCTGCTCAAATTAGAATAAAGAAAACACATGAAGTGTACTGGCAAAATAACTCACAAGCCAGATGGGCAACACATCTCTAAGAAACTTTATTACAATAATTTAGAGTTTGAAATTTGTCATCTCAAGCTGTTGTTTTGAATGGCCACTCTGGTGGAAAAAAGCTTGAACTGAAGCAACAGAGGCATGTTGTAATTCAGCCATTCAAATCAGTCTTATCACAGATTATTACATCAGCACAATGAGAGCCTCAGCATCCAATCAGAAATCAAACTGCTGAACAAACTACACAAAATACACTATGAGCACATCATTTATCAGTATCAAACTGTAAGCATGTTTGAATTAATTTTCTGTTATGTTCCCTGCCAAACACACATGCATACAAACACAAACATGTAGGCTGATTAGTTTGTTCACTCAGCTCATTGGTTCACAAAGACAGCAATTGCTGCTGTCCCTGGTGACTAGCCAGAATGAGTCAGAAGCAGCAGACTTTAACAATGCTAATTTACCTTTATTGATTGACAGGATGTTTGTGAGTATGTGTGTGTGTGTGTGTGTGTGTGTGTGTGTTTCCCCTCAAGAACAGTGTTTAAAGGTGCTGTATGTAGGATTGACACCGAGTGGTTGAACTAGGTATTGCAGTCCAAATTTTAATATTGGAGAGGGTTTTTTTCACCCGGCCCCTCCTTCTCAGACTTGAAGCACATGCAGGTTGCCAGATTGACGACACCAACAGGAACGAGCGCGCTTGACGATTAATTAATTGAAATAGGCTGTGTTTTCCGCCAACTGGCAACCCGGGGTGCCGAAATACAATTCAAAGGATATTCAAAGGAGAATAACTGACTATAATAACTGTAGCATTGTTTTTCAGATAAACAAGTATGTTAACTTAGCATGTTTCTTAAGTATCTGCAAACATATTATGGTATTTTTTATGCTTTAGTAGAGTCAAAAACTTACATACAGCACCTTTAAGTGTTTAAGTGTTTAAGCCTGGTTATTTATAAAGTGACGTGACATGTGGCCAAGTATGGTGACCCATACTCGGAATTAGTGCTCTACTTTTATCCCATCCAAAGTGCACACACACAGCAGTGAACACACACACACCGCGAACACACACCCGGAGCAGTGGGTGCTCAAGGGCACCTCAGTCGTGGTATTGAAGCTGGGAGAGAGCGCTGTACATTCACTCCACCCACCTACAATCCCTGCCGGTACGAGACTCGAACCCGCAACCTTTACGAGTCCGCCTCTCTAACCATTAGGCCACGACTTCCCCGTAGTAATGTAAAAGTAATATAAAAGTAGTAATGTTCCAGAAAGCTCTTTGTTTTGAGTGCGAAGAAAAAGTGGAGAGATCCACACCTCTCTAGCAACATGAATACATTAATAGAAACAAACATGCACTAAAAGTGATGAAAAGAATCTCGCTTTTAAGGTGTGCATGTTTGTGTTAAAGAAAGGCAACTATGTGAAAACACTAACAGGGTTTTTATCAAGTGGAGCTGAAAGGCAAATTGTACTCCACTTTATGGGCCTATTCTGCCTAAATCTCACAGAAAACGCAGAACATAATAGAATCAATGCCATTTAAACACATCTATCTAAATAAGGACATTTCGTAGACTTATATTATGTTAATAAGTTAAATATAATTAATACAGACTTACCCTAAACCTAGTCCTAAATTAAGTTATTTCACATTTTTTACATTTATTTTCAGTATTTATTTACATGTTTATTACAAATAAATGTATTATTACTATTATTAATAATTAATTCCTAATTAATAATAATAATAATAAATATTTATTAATTAAATTTATTTTCCAAATGCAAATTGCTGCAAAGGATACATTAAGCTAACTTCAAGGAACAGTTACGCCCTCAAAGTATAGCATAGTACACGCGCACACAAACAGTGTGAGGTCTTTCACTGAGTGATTTCTTGTCAGGCTGTGTATTGAGGTTAATGGAGACGAAATGGCTAGTCCCACATTCAAGCATCAGTGTTGATACTCATCAACAACACATCTGATTCGCAGGTCTTCAGCACTGCCTCACCTCCTGACATGCATGCAGACACTAATTTAGGTCACTCGCACACACATAAAACCTCTCAAGAGACAAAACTGCGGAGACTTTGTATGTACGTCTCTGATCGTACCTGTAGGAGCCCCGACCCAGGCCAGACCCAGGACTCCATCATCAAAGTCTCTATCTGTGAAGACATAGGCTAGACAGTAGTCATCGTGATTCTGCTCCGAGTTGAGTTCAAGAAATTTCTCCACACCAATGTTGGCAAATCGAAAAGGGTTAGAAGTATCCTTCTCATCTTCAGTAGTGTTGATCTGAAATGAAAATGCAAACAAACTTCAGTTTAATACAACAGACAGTCTGCAGTCTATGTTCAGTATACATGAGATACAGGATAGATATGTTAATATCGTGTCCACATTCTTAGATGTCACTGAGTTTTGTTGTCATCTCATGCAGGAATGCTGTGTTAAAACACGGTGTCAAGTTAAAAACAGTTCTGCTTTTGTGCATCAAAACACACACTTTTGTCCAAAATTTTTTTTTAAACACATTCTGTGTGAACGCCCCCTTAAGCAGCCCAAAAAAAAAAAAAAAAAAAAAAAAAAGGAGTAGCATGGAACTAAAAAGTGAACTATACAAGTCTTCAAAAGAGCTGCAGTACAGGGCTGACATGCTTTTATTGACATCTGGTCAATCCTGGGTGAGATCTGTAACCCCTCTGATGGAACTTGTATTCTAACCAGCAAATCACAGTGAATAAGAAGAATATCCTGTTTATATTCCAGACATATTTACATTAGCACCAGTAACTATAAATTACACTTAATCCATAATATTTCACTAGGGAATGACATACATATAATATTAATAAGTAGACTGAAGAAAGAGAGAGAACACACTCACCTTGATTCTCTTCACCATGAAGCTAATGTTGCGGATGCCCTTAAAATCTGTGCTTTGATAGATGGAGTCAATGGCCTTCACATGACTGGAAATCTGCACAACCCAAAAGAACAACCCTATAAACGTACAATATAAAAAACTGCAGGTACCATATACCACTAAGTCTCCTGTGCTTTAGGTGTACCTGTGCGATCACAGCCTCCCTGCTGCCGTAGTATTTGTGAAAGAGGTGATCCGTCTGGATGAAGAGCTGACAGGTATTTTTCTCTGCCTGTGCTGCACGACGTTTCCTCAGGATCACCGGTCCATCAGCCATCTCTTCGTCAATCACGTGGTTCATATGCTGCAGAAAAAAACAGCAGGATGTATAAAAAATTCACTGAGGAGGCTGAGAAGAAAAACATTTATGTTTGGGCACAGATAAAATAATGTATAATTATTTATAATAAAAATAATGCATTTCTCATTTATAATTTATCATCTATATCTAATTTATATCTGATGAATTATGGATATATTCAGGCAAGGTATCAAATTGAAATCTGAAATTCAGAACCATGGGAAACAGGAAATGTTCCAAATCTCTCCGTGTAGTACGGTTTCCATGTTTGTTTGCATTGTGAGATCAGAATCATGGTGCTAGTTGGTGATATCAGTGGTGTTCAGCTGAGTTGTGTAAAGGGGTGTTGGCGCTGACCTGGGTGGGCTCCTCCACTGCAGATGCCTGGTATTTCTTCATCCTCTCAAAAACAGAGTGATCTGCACAGCCACCTTCTGCTCCATATTTATGAGGATAATCTAGGTAAAATCAAGAGTTTCTTGAAAACCAAAGCAACACAATGCTCTTAGTGTACATTTCTGAACCATACTGTTAACGTGTGAAGTCTCTAATTAGGTGACCTGCTGAATTTTATTTCACTCAACTTCATTAATTTATGCCCTTTTATTTACATTTTCTATTTATTTTAAACTTCAGTATTTCACATAAGAATATGACACATAACTGAAAAGAACTAGTCAGAACTAGACATTTATCCTGAGGGAAGCCTCTCAGCGAGGAAACTGCAAAGAGCACTATCACACACTACTCCTAAGGAAGAACTGCGAACGCAGCTGTTACCAAGTCCACCTATTCCTGTTACTGTAATGGGAACCGCACAAAGTGTTATTGATATTTGACCTCTCAGGCTTTTTGTGGCTGCAGAGCATAAAATCTTCTTATATCAACTGCATTGCTTACTATTTACAGAATTTAACACAGCACTGACAGTTTCTTTCATTATTGCTATTGCTTACCGATCACTACTTGATGGCTACATTTGATGACTGAACAAAGAAAAGGTTCTGCTCTTTCACTCACACTAACAACTTTATCAAGTTTCTGTAAGTAGGATAAAAAAACCTGGGGTTTCTCCAAAAATACAGTAAAAACAGTAATTTATAAAATACAATTAAAATAAATAAAATAACTGTCTTCTATTTTTAAATATATTTTATTTAAAATGTAATGTATTCTTGTGATGGCAAAGCTTTTTAGCAGCCATTACTCCAGTCCTCATTGTGACATGATCCAGAAATCTATTTTCCCCCCAAGATTATTTGATTAAAAGAAAGTTTAAAAGAACAGCATTAGTTTGAAATTGTTTTTTATTTTTGTAACATTGTTATTGCATCCGTGTTGAATAAAAGTACAAACATTTTGACAGAGTTCATTCTGGACTCTGCTTTCACTTCTTGCAATAACCAAACATCAGCAGAAATGAAAATGAGTGCATAATCAAGTGTCTTCTCTAGATATTGTATATTTTGAATGGAAAGTCTATATTGAAATCCTGCCAGCATCCATAATCAAAGAGCCTTTGCTACCCTCCTGTTGGCAGGTTAGTCAACCGAAGTGATCTGCTATATGCAATCTAAATTTCAAGGGAGCAGTCATTCCAGAGAATGCAAGCCAGCAGGTGGAACACACACACACACACAAATCCGTCTAAACTTTCAACATTTTTACAATTTAAAAACAAATAACACTTTATTTGCTTTTTTGCATGCTTCTATGTGCTTTTGATTTTTTACTGTTGTTACAAAATGAGGACGCCCTCATTTCTAACAACTTTGTAACTTTTTTTTATAATACTCACATCAAAATGTAAAATGCTGTCAGTACAGCGAGAAAAAAAAAAAAAAAAATCCATGCCTTAAAATTTGGAAGAGGGGGCATAAAAAATAGTCACTGCCTTAAAATTTGGTACAGGTGTCATTATTCTGACGAATATCAGCTTGGCTGGTGACCAGCGGAGTACCTACCAACTCACAGATTAGAAAAGGACAGACTGCAAAGAAATAATGAAAATAACACTACAGAACCTAAGCAGTGTAAATGTGTGCAGCTCTTACACAACAGTCTAATTACCCATGACAGGTTTAGGCTGATGGTTTTCTCAGTCCCAGGACAGCCAGACAGTGAGAGAAGAGAGCTGGTCTAATGAGACAGCAGATCACCCATAAACACCTCTCATTCCCCTGAGAGAACTTGTTTTCTTCAAGCAAGAAATGACTGTTGTGGAATAATGTTAGCATGTACAGACAATGAGTCATCAAAATGTGCTCTTTCATGAGAGGGCATGGAGGAGAAGAGAATATGTATGTGGCTGAAGGTCTTGGTGGTAGTTAAGGAAAGACTTTCACTCTGATCTCTGATCACAATGACTCAATTTCTTCTCTGTGAGGTTTTTATTGTCCCACACTGAATGCTGCCCCATTCAAATGCAAATCTATGTTGGGCAGAACAAGAGAGACATCTGTCTAGAGCAGGGGTTGGCAAGTTCGGTCCTATAGAGCTGCAGTCCTGCAGAGTTCAGCTCCAACCCTGAAAAAAAACTCACCTGCCTATAGCCTTAGTAATCCTGAAGACATTGATTAGCTTGTTCAGGTGTGTTTGATTAGGGTTGGAGCTGAACTCTGCAGGACTGCGGCTCTCTAGGACCGAACTTGTCTACCCCTGGTCTAGAGGAAACGAGTCTGAAAGGAAATGACAAGTGCCTCGAGGAGAGTACCGAAATCTATCTTCTGAGATGAGAAAAGTCTCTGACTTATCAAAGTAATCTAAATGGAAGCATTGCGAGCTTTTAGCTAAAATCCCAGATAAATTTTTTACTCTTGAAAAAAATGAACACAATAAAAAATGTGGACTGTTTGAAGTTATTCATGTATTGACACATTTTTGCTAAATAATGAATATCAAAACAACAACACACCACATAAATAAAACTACAAACAACTACTCAGAAACGCAAGCTGTGGTTGTGAGAGGTTGTCTCAAGCAGGAAGTGCAGGGTTTCAGTATTAACAACCCATATTGTGATGACTGAGCTTATCAAAATATGCAACAATACCAGATGAAATAAAAAAAAAGAAAAAATCCATTATGGTGAACCTAAGCTGGCTGACTTCTGCAAGGTGCTGGCCTTGGAACAACCACGTGCGGGAAGGCATCATGGGAATGAGCGAAATTACCAGAGGCAAATGCCAGGTTAGTAAGAAGCCCTAAATCTAACTCTAAAATCTTGGTTGAAAGGTATTTTTCCCAGGACCAAAAGGATGTTGAACAGGAACATGTCCTGCTTGGCAAAATCACCTACAGGAAAACAAAGACTTCCTGAAAAAAACTTCATATTAGTTATCCATTAATCTGCATCAATACAGTACAGTAGATGTATTCACAGTAATGAATGCATGTAGATGAAATGATGAATTTCATGATTTCTCAAAGGGATATATTTGTGATTGAGAAAGGTCTCTGTTTACAGCAGTCTACAGAGTTTGACTAAAGCTCTGCTGGAGCATTAAATTACTCTAGTTAGAATCAATTCCCTTAAGTCAGATATTAAGAACAGCAGCCCAATGAAAGAATAATTAATTATAGGCCTTTCTTATTTAGAGAAGTTGGCTGAAACCAATTCTAAATATGGTCAATTACATTCTTCACAATTTTTGATTTTACCATTTAAAGGTTCAGTGAGGTTTTCCTGAAAGTGTATGCTTCATGTGTTACAAACCCACATGAAACATTTTGAGCCTGGCATGAGCCAATGAGTGATCCAGAGTTCACTCCCCTCTCCAGCTGCCCTCCTTCTGACCTTTGTCCTTGTGCTTCAATAGACCACTGTCAGCCACAATTAACTCTTTTTTTCCCCTTCCCATAGATACAAACTCACTGTCCCCATCTGACCTCATCCAGTCTTGCAGTGAACATACATTAGCTCTATTTAATGATGATAAACTCTCTAACTTGTTGTGCATGCACAAACTCAGCATGTAAGCAGCATATGTGTGTGAGCTAGCGTTAGTTATTCTGTTCCTCCCACAACTGATTGCGACACTGAGCACTTCATCACTTCAAAGTACTAGAATGACATAGGTGTATGGAAAAGACGCTTCAATTCCTTTTGTACTAGTACATGCTGTTAACACTATAATCAATTTCCTTGTTGCTTGTCCAGTTTTGTAATGTATTCTCTTAAAGTGACAGTTCACCCAAAAAATTATATCATCATTTACTCGCCTTCAAATTGTTCTAACCCTGTATTAGGCCTGGGCGATAAAACAGTATCGATATTTATCGACGGTACACCTTCTTCGATAACGATAGAAAAAATGTTCGATATAGTGCATGATGTAGGCACGTGTTATGAGTGACGCAGACAGCACACACAAACACGAACATGAGGGCTATGCCTGCCTGTGTTGAGGAGATTGTGAGTAAAGAATGAATATTAGTCGAATTTAAAATAAACATTTGCATTTGAATGCAAAAATAGTACAATCAAAGGTTAGGAGTGCGTCAGGGAGTGTCCTCAGTCTGCATTATTTTGCACATTGCGCCCTCCTGTGGCCTCGGGAGACAAGCCAAAAGTTTAACCTATTTAATCTGCATATAAAACAGTAGAAATTAGATATTTGTTTAATTTTTATTTTGTTTTTGACTGTTAAAACAAAAAAATATTTTTTGTCTCAATAAATTGAGTTAATTTAAAAATACAGTGGTTAAATGTATATAAAAAATAACATTTTTTTCTATTGCTCTTTGTTTTAAAAAAGGTTATAAAAAATGTCAATAATTATCGATACCGAACGATATGAAACATTATATCGTTGATACATTTTTTAGCTATATCGCCCAGCCCTACCCTGTATGATGTTCTTTCTTCTGTGGAACACGAAAGAAGATATTCTGAAAGCCAATGTCCAAACAACACTGAACACTGGACCCACAGACTTTGATTGTATGAAAAAAACAACAGATGTTCCACAGAATAAAGGTGAAAAGAAGTCAAGAAAGTAAATGATGATAGAATTTTCCTTTCCCAAATTTTCCTTTTGGGTGAACTATCCTTTAACAGTGATATACATAATAATAATAATAATAATAATAATAAAAATAAGCTTATTTTTACTTGTATATCTTCAGTGTCACATGATCCTTCACAAATCATTATAATATGCTAATTTGGTGCTCAAGAAATATTTCTTCTTATTATCAATGATGAAAACAGTAGTAGAAACTGTGATACATCTTTGATGAATAGAAAATTCAAAAGCATAGAATGTTTGAAGTACATTTACTTGAAATAGAAATCTTTTGTAGCATTATAAACGTCTTTACTGTCACTTTTGCTCAACAAAAGTATTAATTTCTTTCAAAGAAATAAATAAACAAATAATAAAGAAAAGAAATAATACTACTGCCCCAAACCTTTAAACAACTGTGTATATAATATTTCTATAAAGATGAAAGTGTACCAGATACCAAGCTGCTAATCTTTGACAGGCTGTCACTTTTTATAATTTCTTTTACTTGAGGATATTATAACAGTGATAACCTACACCTAGTATTTAAGAGGCTTTATCAGCCTGTTGAGCTGGAAAAGTGCACCACTATGTTTGATTGAGGGTGAGAGAGTGACAGAATGCAAGATAGGGAGAGTAAGACACAAAAGACAGTAAAGTCTACAGCACACTAGAAGACTCAAGCTTGTTTCCTTCAAATTTGTAGTTTGTGCCTAGTCTGCTTAAGGGGAGAAGGGGAAGCTCACTGCATTTTGCTGTGTCCGAACTGCTTTATTTGTGTGACAATCCTTTGTATTACACGGATTCACTCAATTTTATGCTTATGATCCAAAACACGTTTCTAAAAGATTACAATGGCCATCATAATGTCATGTAATTCTAACAATAACAGCACTTTTCCATCCAAAAGCAATCAAAACATGTAATTTGAAACCAATTCCATAATCCAGCCATTATAACAGCTCTCATCACACTCGGGGGAGTCTCAAAACATCAGTGATTGGAGACAGACTCACTCAAGACACATTAATTTATCAGTCAAAGAAGCAAGCATAATATGGATCTTTACTGTGCATAAAATGGATTATGCTGAAAGCAGTTTATTTACATTTAGAGCATCTAAAGTTGACTTGAGCAAATGGTTATCTTAAAATTACTTAGTTTGACAAGGTTTTTTTTTAAATTTATGAATATACACCACTGTTCAATAGTTTGGGGTGAGTGAGATTTTTTTTGAAAGAAATTAATAATTTTAATCAGCAACAGGATGCATTAAATTGATTAACAGCATGAATATTGCAGTCAAAGGAATAAATATAATTTCAATAAAAAACATTGTAATAATATTTCACAATTTTATTATTTTTTCTGAATTTTTGATCAATAATTGCAGCCTCAGTGAGCATAAGTGACTACTTTCAAAAGCATTAAAAAACATTACTGACCCCTAACCTTTGAAAGGCAGTGTACAAAATGAGTTTGCTTGCTAAATATATCTATATAATCTAAAAGAATCCACAGAATCTATAACAACTTAGGGGTGTGTGATATCACGATTTTTGACCTTGGACGATTAAAATGTCACCACGATCTGCTTTTGAGGAAAAATCGCAGTATCGTGCTACAGCGCACATTCTATCAGTTGCAGTTCTGGCGCCTCCGTCTCAATATAGGCTACTGTACAACGTGACATACATTCACATCAAATGTTAACTCAACGGAATAGTTACACTCATGGGACACTGCACTTAGTCGCATTTACAAAAGTAGATTATTTGCATGTGCTTTAAAGCCTTGCAGGTTAAACATTTAATTTGTGTGCTGTTCTGAAATGCGATTTTTCTGAGCGTGTACACCTGAAGTGCGTGCGCACACTAAAAAGCCTGACAAACAGTGGCTGACATATAAACACAGTCGGTTATGTCTAAAGTGAAAGCAAACAGTTGAAAGAAAAACGCCTGCGTGCCTGTATATTAGATGCGTGCAGGTCTTAAAGCAACAGTACTAACAACATGCTGCTGCTTGTCATTAATGTTAATAAAACAACAAAACACAAAGAGAAATAAAAATCACTCACTGCTCATGACTGAAGAACTTAAATACAGTTGCTTTGATAAGAATCAATGTATAATTTATACAGTGAAATGTATTTAGTGTTTTATTTTTATATTTGTTCATTCAGTTTCTTGAATGCTACTGCTAAATACACCTACTGTACCTGAAAAATAAAGCATGGTTTGTTTTATTTGTATATTATGTGTATTTGTAATGTGTATCTTTGTTCTTATTTTATAATAACAAAGATAAAATAATGGCAAAGATTTTTACCTTTGCCCACTTTGGCCTAAATATCTGCCATTCTTTTTTATTTTGTTACCTTGTAAGGCTTTGTTTTTAAAACAGGGAAATTAGTTTGGCTGTACTGCTCAGACAACTTGCAAAATAGTAAGACCAATATGACAAAGAATCGTGATAAAATTGTGAATCGTGATATTCCTGAAAAAAATAGTGATATGATATTTTTGCCATATCGTCCACCCCTAACAAACACGGTCAGAAAGCTGGACACAGTAAAACATTAAATAAGCAATGATTAAGAATATGATGTAGGTCATTACAATGCAATATTAGCTCACCGATATCATCCTCATGGTAGATGACTGAGTGGTAGGGCACATTCTGGTCTTTGAGGTATCTCTCTGAGGGTTCTACGTAGTATGTGCCCTTATGGCTCTTAATGAAACCCTCAAATTTCCCATCCACGATAGAGCCATGGGTCAGAGAGCCCTTCTCACCTGCAAGATTAAAAAAACAAACCAGAGATTAAAGCCAAGCAAATGCAATTGTAAAGCTATTCAGGGCGCAGAAAGAGCTCTCTCTCTCTATGCTGGCAGACAGAGGGAATGTTATGAAATATGACAAAAGGAGAATGTATAAAGAGCAGCTTCCATATTATGATCCAGTCATTCATCTCCAACAACATAAACACACACAGTGCACACCACACAACTAATGGCGCTTTTCCACTGCATGGTACGGCTTGGCTCAGTTTGAGTTTCAACTGCAGTTTAGTACCGCTTTAGATTATAGACATGTTGTTATAGTTTGTGCCGCCTCTACTGCCGCAACCTCCTGAAAAACTTTTTAATTCCGCGTCATCCCATCAAGCTCTCGCTAGATCCGCTCCTCAGCTATCAACAAGAGGAACGTCTGTACTTCAACAGACCACGAAACAGCCACTATTTTGTTGTTTAAAAAAAAGGTGCACTCATTCGAAATTGTTGCATTCATTCAAAAAAAGTTGCATTCGATCCTCGCTGGCTGTGCTGATTTAATCTAGCGGGTCTAGTGTCACGTGTCGCAAGTTCAATGACGCAGGTAGTGACGATTCTCTCCGGCAAATCAGTGATCAGCAGGGTTTACACGTCACGTTTTGGTAACGGTACGCCCGTGCCGTACCATGCAGTGGAAAAGCGCCATAAGCCTGACCTTTAGAATGGTAATGAGCCCAGCAACCTGGCTACTGTCTCTGACAATCAAAGTAGACCCGTTCTTCATCTACAGATTTTACTTCATCTGGAACCGTACCACAACATCAACATTTACACTGAATGATTTATGAAATGCTTTTAACCAAAGTAACAAACAAGGACATAGCAACAAAAATGAGTAGTCAGTATGTGTCTGAAATTATGCAAGAATATCATCAGGAACCAAGAACAAAAGTGAGACAGTAGAACTCCAGTATAAAATAAATAAATACATACATACATAAATTATTATTTCATTACTGTATTAACCCATTAATGCCCAAGTTTGTTACAGAGGCAACTACAAATATTTGCCTTTTTTTTCATACTATTATAAAACGTTAAAACATACAGACTTATCGTTTTTAAACGGATTAACTGTCAAGCGCTCAGAGAAGACATGTTTTCACACATTTTTTGAAGGCATTGAGGGACCAGGAAAATTATTTTACCATTGGGGAACAATGAAATTGAACTACATCAGAATTTGAAGTGCAGTACAGAAAAACAAAGGAGTGGAGCTTCCTAGACCAACAGCACATCCTGGAAAATTCTGGTTCAATTTCAAAACCGATTGCCAAGTTCCACATGTGCACACATGAACCCTAAAATAACAAAGCATGGACCCGACAGAACAGACCAAGAAAAGGAACTGTTGTCTATAATGTTGTAGACATCTTAAGCTGTCAAAATCTCAACAGTCATTTTTGACCGTTGGAAATTCTTGTCCATTTTAATCAAGACAAAAAAAAGAGAAGCTTTTAATGTTTCACAAGCGTTTAGCTCTTACAAGCACCACAAGTGCTTTAAAAGAAAACATACTGCAATAAAACGGTTAACTGGGATTTACCAGGAGCTGTCTGCTATCATGGTTAAATGGCAATGAGAAAGTTGTGGTGTGTGTTTTGGTGTGTGTTTCTCAGGCACAGATGAAGAACCTGCAATACGATTTCTTTCTTCAGAAAGGAACAAGATCTGAAAGCTCTTGAACTTTTCATCCCTAAAACTGATAATAACAGAAAGAGGAGATTCACTCTCATACCCTGTGTAACATTAAAGGGGTCATATGATGCGATTTCAAGTTTTCCTTTCTCTTTGTGTGTTACAAGCTCTTGGTGCATAAAGAAGATCTGTAAAGTTGCAAAGACTAAAGTCTCAAATCCAAAGAGATATTCTTTATAAAAGTTAAGAGTCATCTTTAAAATAGCATCATATGACCCCTTTAAACTACTGCTCTCCTCCATCCCTCCTTGACCTTCTGTTCTCTCTTTCACAGATTAAAACAACAGAAAAGCTGATGAGGAGAAGCATGAAGACACGTAAGAACATCAAACAAGCAACAGGCACAATATACTTCTCCAAATATTTCGCTTCTTATGAAGTCAATCCTAATAAACGTACTGAATTTATGTAGCAGTTCTCTGAAGTGGATTTCATCTCTAGACAAGTCCTCCTCATTAGCCACCAGAGCAAAAAAAAAAAAAAAAAGAGCAGAAAAGAGAAATGCTAATGAAAGAACAGCTGTTAATGTCATTGCTTTTCCACAGAGAATTTGCGCCATCCCGGCCTGCTTCAAACTCTTCTGTGAATATTAGAGGTTACAAGATTAAGCACGGAGCGATGTTTATCCTTTAGAGAATACAAAGAGTGCTAATGGATAACAAAGGGAGAGAGCAGGAGCGAGAGGGTTAGAGGAAGGCTGAGAAAAAGTGAAATTGTAAAATATGAACATTTAGGCACTTAAGGGCTTTTTAATTTCAAACATTTTTGAGAAAGAGTGTCCAAATTTAGAAGAGAGAAATGAGCATGACGGATAGTGTTTTAGTCATAGTTTTTGTCTTCTGACAAAAATGTAGTTAAATGTAGTCAATATTTCATCACGTCATATGTATGTCACATTTTAATAATAATAATAACCTTAAATTGTATGCCCTTGCTGAATAAAGGTATTACTTTCTATCAAAACGTTTGAACAGCAGTATATGTACAAAACGAAGAAAATGTGTCAAACTGTAACAGATGAAACTTTAATCACATTTGCAAATGCAAAATGTATAAACAATCTCCAACATATATGACTGAATTATAAGAATCAATTCTTTCAACATTTATCTTCTTAAACAATTTCTAGTGCATTGCTGTTTATATCTTTTAGTTTTCATCAACAGTACATTTTTCATTATAAACAGTTTAATTATATTCACAGTGCAGAGGCGTCTCATCTTCAATGCTGTAATACAAAACTTCAAAACAATACTAAAAAAAACATCATCAAGAAGCAAAATGCCAATAAAAAATGTAACATTTTCATTCTTAAACTGCCAGTAAAAAGTTGATCCGACAACTTGTGAAATGCAGTTCTTGATCTGTGGTGTTAAAAAATCTACTGTGTTTTAAAGGTGAGCGATAGCATTGCTTATTAGTGTTAATTCATCACTTCCAATAAAGAAACAGTTCAGAACAACTCTCAACCACGTTCACTTCCTCAGGCCTAAAGTCCTTCACTCACCCATATCAACAGATCACATGAACGTCATCTCCTGACAATACCAGTTATTATGAAACATCCTGTGGTGAGCAGGAAATTATATGAATCCATTCAGAGCAATTCAGAGACTGAAAGGATTTGTCAGTATTAGTAATAGGGTCAGGGGAGATGCTCAGAGTCAATAAGGATGCCTGATCATCAGATGAAGAGAAAAGGGAAAGTAGTTTTCATCCACCAGTAGGCAGTCTGTCCATCATTTAAAGTACATAGGTAATTGCTCAGATCTCACTAATGTGTGCTTATCGTAAGCTGTACCCATCATCAATCAGGTTCAGTGCCTCATCGCACTACAAGGAACATAATGAGAATAAGGTGATGATACAGTTGTCATGATGTCAGCTCAGAAACTTCAGAAATGATCAAGCGAAAATGAAGAGTAACTGAACAAGACATTTCATTCACTTATGCATAAGATGAGATCTGAAAACACTGACTGCAAAGAAAATGCTCAAAACTTAAAAAGTGACTGGATTCAAATTTATCAGTGACAAGAGAAAGCTATACAATCTAACATTAGAACCAGGCAATTATTTAAAATGTGTCCTAGCATAATTTTTGTGTTATTTAAGACTGAAGTGTTTTACATAAAATTATTTCATGCAGTGTCTTTTTTTGACAAAATTCTATGTTCAGCATTGTGTGAGAGGATTTAAGTTTACATTTGGTCAGCGGGTTACGTGAGAAATAAATGAGGTGCACAGTGGTCAGATCCATGTGGAAAATCATCACAGCAGGGTGTGTGTGGTTCGGCCCTATGACAGGACAAACCTTCACTTTATTGACATTTGCCTTCTTTTACAAACCCAACAGAAGACAGGATGAGCCTGACTCTGACCTGAGGTGAATTTTGACTTGTGCGAAAAAGGGAAAACAAAGAAAAAAAGTGGAAAAGCACAAAACATTTGCCGAATAAATTCCTCCATGTGCATTAAAAAAAGTCATGTGAATTTGCGCTAATGGGCGGCATAACCTGAGTAACTAGCAGACCGATCTTGTTGCACAGCATCTGAAATGTTATGGTCATTCTTAAATAGACTTCAAAGTCTGTCGTCAAAGTATTTCTGTATAATTATAATCTTACATGACTGCATTCCCAAACAGTAGCATCCACCTCCAAAAACGATGACCACATTTATTGTGTTTCGTCAACTCGCTCTGAGTAATTTAATATATATGAAAATTATTATATTCAGTGGCTTCTCCTACATTTTTTTGTGATATTTAGTGCCAGTTTATCAGGAATTGACGATATTGTTCTCTTTGACTCGTTGGATGGAAACGGTGCTTATCCGCAAATGTTTTATGAAATATTCCAATTTTGCACATAAGAGAAATGTACAACTTTAGATGGAAACCCAGTCAGTAATTTTTTTAAACTTTTTGAGCATTTCTATCAGAAGGCACTGAATGTCATTATCACCAATTTAATTTAAAAAAAATTTCAAATATAATATGGCTATTACATATTATTATACAAAAATACAACAAGGACACATTTTAACTACACGGTTAAGAAATACTTCTATCCAGTATGCATTAATTTGAGTCACAATAAAAACATTTTTAATGTTACAAAGGACTTCTATATGTTTGTGTATGTTCTGTATGTTAATATATGTTTGAAACAGATCACTAAGGTAGCTGCAGAGGCACCTGTATAACTAGATAAGCCTAAAAGAACATAATGAAGTATCAGACATTACCAAAAAAAAAAAAAAGTTTAATTCATCATGGGGTACTTTTGCCCCCAAAATTTTAGGCATTTTCTGTGGATCAAATGAAAGTACAACTCCACCAAAAAAAGCAGTTTTTTTTTCCTCACTATATCTTAATTACTCTCTGCCTTACATGAGATGCACAAAAATCACACTACATCTTCAAAAACAGTGTACAAATACAATAGATGGAGGCAACGTTTCCGTGGCAACTCAGGAAGTGTGTTGAGGTGGATGCATGCCTTTATGCACAAGTGTGTGCATGTGTGAGTGCTGGAAAGGTGCCATGCTCACCGTAAATTTCTCCAGTGTAAATGTGAGAGGTGTCATAGGGAATCTCTTCTCCAGAAACTTCCACCTTCAGATCGGGAGCGAAGAGAGAGGTGTCCCTCTTCATCCGAAGGTTAAAATGCCTGATGGAAGGAGAGAGAGAAAGAGAACAAGATTAATGGACTGTGAAATTGGCCATGAGTGTACAAAATGTGTCCCAACAGAGGTGGATACAAGACACACAATATTTGAGATGCTGTGCAACACACACCGAAATACTAACAGTCTGAGCCAAGTCAGAATAAGAGTCATGATGCAGAGCATTACTGAAACTATGAGATAAAGGAGGAATAAGGGAAATCTGCCAAACAGCATTTCTCACTGCCAAAATTTTTTGTTCTCATTTATTTTTCTCCTTTCCAGCATTTATAATCAAAAACATATCTTCCCTTCAGATTAATCCATTTCCAACTGGCACATGTCATTAGGATTTTCTAGAAACACTAGGTGCTGGTGAGTGACTCACAGTGATTCAAAATGATTCATCTGGGTTATTAACTTGACACACTTCTACACGGTGATGCTCTGACGTGTCGAAATTTATAATTGAGCGTGTGCTGGATGTCTGGTTGAAGACATGGCGGATTAATGAGAGAAAAAAAAATCACTGAGTAAAAGAATGTTACAAGAATGATAACCATAAAAATAAAGAAATTATAATGATAACTATATTAGTATCCACACCAGAGCATAAAAAAAGTTTTATTTAAGCATGCACTGCAGTTTTGTCGTCTGCCACTTTAAATGCTCAAGCTCTTTAAAACAGGAAGAATTCAATGTTTTTATTGTTCATTAGCTGGAAAAAAAATCATTCTGAAAGTGGTCTCAACATTATCATTCCCCTGTGTCTTTATCGTTATAGTTATGGTGTGGACTTCCCTATTTTCAAAGAATTAACGATTATTATAGCTTTATAGTTATCTTTACAGTTATCATCCTTGGTGTGAATGTGCCTTAAGACTCCACCATCAGGCCTTCTGATACAAGTTTACATGCTCGAAATCTTAGGATCTGTAGAATGGGTTTAAAGTACTTCACTCCTCATAACAGCCAAAATAACCATCAAATCTGTAATATTTTTAATAGAAAGGCAAATACTATAATGCTCTTTTCATATACCTTTCACTTTCTTTGTTTAAAAGTTCGGTCTACTTTTTTATTAGACAGAACTGTTATACAATGACAGTAAACTATGAAGATGGAGTCTGCTTTCTCTCAGGCGCTGGCATTTCTTTTGCTGTTTCTGCTTTTGACACTTATTAGAGACTTATTAAAAAAAACATATCGCCTGATGGCAATAATAAAAAAAACAAAAAACAAACAAATATCAACCATGGCGATATATTGATTGCCCAATATGTTTTAATAAACAAACATACAAGGGGTGGGGAATGTATATGGCATTACAAGTCAATTAATACCCACAGAGCTTTCTGCAGAGTACTGTGTGTGCAGATTACATCAGTCATTTGTTTTGTTGACAGAAGAGAGATAGAGATAGAGAAAAATGTCATGCTCTGCTGAAATGGCACTGACCACCCTGCATCATGGATTCCCTCAGGATAAACGGGATCAGGCATCACCCATGCTCGTGCAGCTGAGCCCGTGTTGTTTGTGTGTGTGTCAAGCCCTTGTCTCTAATATATCAGACTAAAGGAGCCAGACAAGATGTGCCTCATCAGGGAAGATTTTAATTATGTTAGCTAGAGAAAAGACATTACATGTGAAAAACAATACAGTATTGACCTGAAAAAAAAACACACAGCTGAATTTCATAAGAGGCTCAGTACAGGAACAGGAAGACTCAAAGCCAAAGGGGTGGAGACACGTCCCTGTAGTAAACACACCTAGTGTAGAGGACAGCAGCTCAGTGCTTCACCCAGCATGTGTTTGACCTTTGTGCAGGTGAGACTCACTGCTGCTAACATACGCTCGTACTGTCATGAGGAAACTGAGAACAACAATGAGAGAGAGAGGGACATGAAGAAGAGTAGGAGGAAAAGAAGAGAGAGGAAACTAAAGGACAAAGAGTCCTGGAGGGAGAACAGGCAGGTGGAAGTGGTCTGGCCATTCTCAGAACTTTCTAATTAAAACTACCCTTCACATAGACACACACACACCCTCCTAAATGAGGACACAGTTACAGTTTTTTATGTACTGGAAATTGTAATTTATTACAGACAACCCCTAATCAATGTACAGCCAAGTAAACTTACATACATTTTCACTACACAGCTATCTAAATGAGAACACTCCATAGGCTTCTATTGTTTTTATTTGCAGCTAGTTATAAATACTACTATATCCTCACTTCAACCCTTTTTATTACCAACTCAAACCTGGAGGAAAGATTATCATCAAACAAACTCAGACACATTTAGCACGAGTAGCATCATCAACTAATTGCTTAATCCAATTCAGAGATATAGTTCACATAAAAAAGAAAATTCTGTCAACAATTACTGACCTCATGTTGTTGAAAACCTTTTAAAATATTTATTCTGTGGGACACAAAAGGATTTTTTTTTAATCATACTGGTTTTTCTTTTTAAATTACACTGAATGATTGAGGCTTTCAAGCTTGAAAAAGGGCACAAAAGGCAATATCATAAAAGTATAGAGAAAAATAGTTTTGAGCATGAAAGTGATTAATTAATGATTTAATTATTTTCATGTTTAAATGGGAACTATTCCTTTAGATAGGAGGTTTGTGGGACATACACTGATTCCAACTTGTTAATGTTAATGGCAACTCCCACTAGGCAGTAAACATAAATGTCTGCAGTACACATTCTCTAGTACAGAAGGACATTAGGAGTACTGTAGAACATATATGTTCATACCATTCAAACAGTGTCACTAACCAATGCTTAAACACACAAAAGACATGAATACCTCAGGGCAAGCACTAACAGGTAACAATACCTACCATTAATGGGTGGACACAGTAGCAGAGATTCGAGGAATGAGGATTTTTAACGTGTTCTTTCTTGTGAGATCCAGTGAAGTGTTATGCTCAGACAAAAGGAAGTAATGCAGGAAGTCTCAAAGTTTTCAAAATCCAGTGTCTAAATCAGAGAACGTCTTCAGAGAACCTTAGTCAGTATGTGACTCAGATCGTGAACAACATCCGCCGTCTTACTCAACATTCCATGGTGGGCTAACACTCAAAAACCACCCAAGCACCCAAAACCCCCACACACTTGCTCGGTCTACACCTCATCTAGCCATATGAGTCATAGTGGAGACTACAGAGCACAACATTTTCCCCCAGTGACCAGAGTCTTTGCTATCCATGTCAAACCAGTGCAGGTCTTTAAAAACAATGTAAAAGCCAACAGTGGCGATTTCTATATCCCCACCTCTGGTGCTTCTGCGGGTTATAAAATTAATATATATACAATTATAATTATATATATATCTCACCGTCTAGCTAAAAATTATCATTATTGTCCAAATGTTCTCAGCAGTTAGGCTAATTGTCCCACTCTCAATTTTCAAAATGGTTTCCTGTTTTGGTTCTATTCAGAAAATATGCAAGAATACGCCTGCTTAAAGCACTGTGAAGAAGAAAAAAGAAAAATAAAAAGAAAAAAGAAAAGAAAAAAATGTGTAAAATCAAGTATAACTTTGATAGTACCAGGGTTGGGAGGCAAAAACTTTCCATTTTCTTTTCCAATTATACTTAGGTCCATGAGGTTTCTCACAAGTGCATTTCATCCCACTGATGCAGATGGAACACTGTACTAAAATATAATATAAAATAGTCAGATTATTAGATTTTGCTTTAATCTAATCCGCATTATTAGATGCATTTAAGGTGTTACTTCTGTAAGAACAGTTTTACTAGTTTTAAGTTAATTTATTTTTAATAATAATTTACTTATGAACAGAACTTTCTCTTTTTCAAAAGCACCAAAAGGAGTGTTAATAGAACCATTAAAGGGGTCATATGATGTCGCTAAAAAGAACATTATTTTGTGTATTTGGTGTAATAGGGGTTATGCGCAACAGACTTCCGTATTCTGTTAACTGGGTCTCGTTGTTTCCGGTTCAAACGTTTTGCATATGCTTCGTTAAATATGAAGCAGTTTTACTCAAGATGCCTTCAAAGTAGATACCAATGATGACCATAACCAATGTCCATCACATATGTGGACTGATATCTAAAAGTTTTTATTTTTTATTCTTTTCACTAACATTTAGATATAAAAATTTAATAAAACGTCAACAATCAAAATAGCTAGCTAGTTTAACTGATTATCTTAAAAATCCATAGATATCGCTATTACTTAACATGGCTGTTAACAGGTTCTCCGACAAGCAGAAGCGTTTAGACCTGTTTTCCGGGTTTGGTCAGGTGACGTTCGACATATAGGGTATGAAATGTGTTTATGGGGTTTAAGGCTCAAAAAACACATTATTTTCCACATACTGTACATTATTGTTTCTCCTCTATGCCCCGCCTTTCTGAAACGCGTCGATTTTTA